AGGAAGACATGCCCATACAAATATAAGAAGCATATAAAACACCAACTAGACAGGACCAGAAAAGAAACTCTTTACAGACATCATAGTAAAAATACTACACGTACAGAATGAAGAGACAATACTGAAAGCTGCAAAAGAGAAACAACAAGTCACATATAAAGGAAAACCCATCAGGATTACAGCTTACTTTTCAGTGCAAACTATGAAAGCCAGAAGAGCCTGGACTAAAATATTCCCAGTTCTAAATGACCACAGATGCCAACCCAGATTACTATATCCAGCCAAAATGTCTATTATAGTCAAAAGGGGAGAAATAAAAAAAAAAAAAAAAAAAAAAAAAAAAAAAAAATTATCAATCATATCAAAGTTCAAATCCAACAGGGAAGAACTGCCATTTGTACATATATTTCTTAAAGATTTCATTTTGTTGGAGGGGGGCTTTTTGAAACAGGATTTCCCTGTAGCCCCAGCTGGCCTGGAACTCACTATGTAGACCAGGCTGACCTCAAACTCACAGAGATCCACCTGCCTCTGCCTCCCACATGCTGGGACTACAGGTGTGCGCCAGCACGCCCAGCTTGATTTCATTTATTTTTATGTATATGTGTTACATACAAATGGTATGTATATGTACTATTTGCTTGCAAGTGCCGGAGGAGGCCAGAAGAGGGTGTCAGATTCCCTGGAACTTGAGTTACTGAGCTGTCGTGTGGATACTAGAAACCAAACCTGGGTCCTCTGCAAGAGCAGCAAGTGCTCTTTTTTTTTTTTTTTTTTTTTTTGTCTTTTTGAGACAGGACTTCTCTGTAGCCCCAGCTGACCTAGAACTCACTATGTAGATCAGGCTGGACTGGAACTCACAGAGATCTGCCTACCTCTGCCTCTGAGTGCTGGGATTAAAGGCGTGTGCCACCAATTCCCAGCTACAACAAGTGCTCTTAACTGCTGAATCATCTCTCCAGCCTCCATTTGAATCTTAAGTCTTTTTATTTTGGTATTTTTACTTTCTCCATTTTTGTGTGTATGAGGTGCACATGTGTACAAATATATGTTTACATCTGTGAGGGTACATGTACATGTGTGTATGTAGAGGCCAGCAGTTGATGTTAGGAATTATCCTTGAAAGTTCTTCTATCTTATTCAATGAGACAAATTCTCTTAATCAAATTCAGTTTGCTGATATGGCTAAGTCTTGAAAGCCAGATTGCTCTGGGGGATTCCCATCTCTACCTTCTAAGGCTAGAATTACAGACAGGCTGCCACACCCACCTGGCATTCATGTGGGTTCTGGGGATCTGAACTCTGGTCCTCACACATGCACAGCCAGTGCATTAATTAATTACTGAGTCATCTCTCCACCCCATTTTTCGTTTTTGTTTTTGTTTTTTTTTTTTTTTTTTTTGAGACAGTCAGTTTCGTACATATCAGACTCATATTCAATTTACTATAGTAGTCAAAGCTGGTCTTGAACTTCTAGTCCTCCTGCCTTCACTTCCAAATGCTACAATTATAGGTATGCACCATCACACCTGACTAGGAAGGACCTATCTTAGTAAGACCAAAACAAAATCAGAAAGAAAATGGTTTTTTTCCTTTTTAAGACATTAAAACTTTTTTTCACTATCTTTGTACTTATTATTATTATGGAGGGAGGGGTGAATGTCTCAGAACATGTATGGCGGCTACCACACCTGGCTTGCTTTTACTTTTTTTTAATGCATATATTTTTTAATTTATTTTTTTATATGTATGAGTTTTTGTCTGCATGTATGTTAAGTGCACCTGTGTTATGCAGTGCCTATGGGTCCAGAGAGGGTGTTGGATCCCCCTGTTACTGGAGTTATAAATGGTTACTAACTGCCATGTGGGTGCTGGGAACTGAACCTGGGTCCTTTGCAAGAGCTCTTAATGACTAAGCCATCTCTCTAGCCCCAGTTTTATAATCTTAATTGTATGTATATTTCCTTAATCTGAATCTCCAAAATCATTTATGAGTCTTTTTCAAGACCCCCCCTCCCGAAACCTGGATCTATTCCTGGGCTTGGGAGAAGAAATGTGAGACCCTGTCTCAAAAAAACAAAAAAGTTATCCTCTAACCTCCACATGCACATTGTGGCACACATATACCCATACTCACATAGAAAGGAATCAGACATTTTGTGTTTTTGTACTTTAAACATCCCTGTGATGTATGAATACATAGGAAAGATATATACCTAGAACTCATGGTTATACATTTATTATACCTGCATGTTTGAGATGTAAATAGATCACATGTATATAAGTTTAGGAAGAATCTATACTAAAGCAATCAAATACTGCTTCTTAGAGGTTACTAACATTAACTCATAAGTAAATTTGGACTTTTTTTTTTTTTTTGTCTTTTTGAGACAGGTCTCCCTGCAGCCTCAGCTGGCCTGGAAATCATTATGTGGACCAGGCTGGCCTCATCTTATAGAGAGCCACTTGCCTCTGCCTCCCGAGTACTAGGATTAAAGGTGTATGCCACCGTGCCTGGCTGGACACTTTTTTTTAAGTCTGCAGGTTGGGGATGTGGCTCAGTTGGTAGAGTGCTTGCCTAGCATGCATAAAGCCTTAGGTTCAGTCCCCAGCACTACATAAAACTAGCATAGCGGCATATGCCTGTAATTCCAATGCTGGGGAGGTGGGATTAATAAGCAATGTATTCATCAACACAGTAGAAATGCGAATAGGTGCTTTATTGCTATTATTTTTGTTGTAGGGTTATTTAGTTGGTTTGAGACAAAGTCTTTTACTATGTATCCTAGGCTGGACTCTGAACTCATGATCCTCCAACCTCAGTCTTTCAAGTGTTTGGGTTATAAGTATGTGCCACCTTGTCCTGCTTGCTATTGCTTTATGCTTCTTTTATATTCCAAAATGTTTCCAATTAGTATGCTTTTAATTAAAAAAAATTAAATGTTCCATGTATGAACACATTTTTTTTTAAAATAGAGACAGGGTTTCATATAGCTCAGGCTAGCCTTGGACTTACTATATAGTCAAAGATAACCTTAAATTTCTGATCCTCTTACCTCCCGAGTGCTGGGCATACAGGCATGTGCTACCACACTCAGCTTTATGCAGTACTGGAGATGGAATTCAAGGCTTCGTGCATGGTAGGGCTTGCAAGCAGTCTACCACTTGAGCTACATCTCCAGCTCTGAAAACTAAAAAATATCCAGGTTTGCTTGGCGTGGTGGTACACACCTTTAACCCCAGCACTTGAGAGGCAGAGGCAGGCGGGTCTCTGTGAGTTCAAGGCCAGCCTGATCTTACTCAGTTGCTAAGAAAAATAAAATTATGAAATTCATGGCAAAAGAATTGATTTGGACATAGTTATCCTGATTTAAGTAACCCAGACCCAGAAAGACAAATGTTTCCTGTTTTATCTCATATTTGGATACTATTTTTGAAACTTTAGATATGTGTGTTTCATTTAGAATGCCCATAGAAGTTAGGAAACTAGTTAAGTGATATGGGCTGGGGGAGGGGAGTCATGCAAGGGGAGACAGAATGCACTGATACACATGGGAGAGGGGAATAACGGGATTAGAAAGGTTCAGTGTGGTGGAGAATGGGAGGACAGAGTGCAGGAGGGATTATGGGTAGGGATAACTAACACTAGGAGCCTTTCTGGAGTTGATGGCTGGCCAGGAGGGGTGGTACACACCTTTAATCCCAGCACTTGAGAGGCAGAGGCAGGCGGGGCTCTGTGAGTTCAAGGCCAGCCTGATCTACATAGTATGTTCCAGGACAGCTGGGGCTACAGGGAGATCCTGTCTCAAAAAGACCAAATAAATACATAAATACATAAAAATTCAGGTTTACTTATGAATTAACTGTTAATGACCTCTAAGAACCAATCCTTATTTACTTTAAAACCATTCATGAATATTTTAAAATGAAACAAAAAACTACTGGAAAATAAAAATCACTCTGTACAGGTCTGTGCATCGAAAGAGCTAGTCCTATTGGGAGGCTGCTTGATGATCACACCAATGCCTGGTTTCCCACCTATCACTGCACTGTAAGCTAATGAGTGGGCACACAAAAAAACGCTAGTCTCATTTTCTCAAGCACAATGGCTAGGACCCAGGGAGGAACACTGGCCCTAACAATGGGCCATCTACAAAGATCATCTAAATCCCACTAATCCCCGATCAACAGTGTTTCAAAGGATCTGATAAATCACAATGTGAAAGATACATGCCCACAAAAATTATAGCACTTGAAACAACTTTTCTTTTAAATCTTGAACTACACAAGAAGGTACCGGATGCTGAAATGAACCTGTTTGGAATTCTGGCTTATGCTTGGGGGACATTTCTGCTTTGCTTACTCTACAGATGCAGCCAGGCTGTCTCAGCTATAGAGGAGCAACCCAAATTCACCCACAGAGACCACAGAGCACAGGGGCTTCTCTCACTAAGCCCCATGCTATGTCTACCTTAACTATATCCCTACATCCATATCTTCACAGTTCTGAAAAGTGAAGCCAAGCCTGCTTATCTCTATATGGATTGTGTCCCATCCCGAGCACAGAATCCTCTCCAGCCTGACTTTACACACAGGTGTTTAGAGGAAAACTAGTTTAGGAAAAACATAAGCAGCAAGTACTCAACCTGGCAAGTCATTCATCGCAAGTCATTCAATTTACAGAGTGAAGCACAGAAGACCACTGACTTAGCAGAGTGGCAATGACGGGGGTCATTGGTGGCTGCCCACACAGCAGCATCTGCATGCACTTCAGGAGCAGGTAGGGCTGATCTAACATGCTCAAAATGTCACTGGACATGGCAGCACACACCTGTAGTCTTAGCAGTAGGGAGACAGGAGCAAGAAGATCCAGAGTTCAAGGCCAGTTTCAGCTACAGTAAATTCAAGGTTAGATTATGCCATATGAGACAACCTTCTCAAAAGATAAAACAAACACTTGAAGCTGGAGAGATGGCTCAGCAGTTAAGAATGTGTATTACTGTTACAGAGGACCCAAGTTCAGTTCCCAGCACCTAGGTCAGGCAGCTCACAACCACATATAACTCCAGTTCCAGGGGCTCTGACACCTTTGGTCGCTACAGACACCTGTACTCATGTGTATATACTCATACAGACATACACATAATTAAGAATAATAAAATTAAATTAAAAAATCTTAGGGGCTAAAGAAATGGCTCATTGGTTAAGAGCACTGGCTGCTCTTATAAAAGACCCAGGACCCAGGTTCAATTCCCAGCACCCACATTGTGGCTAATAACTGTCCATAATGCCAGTTCCAGGGGATATGATACCCTCTTCTGACCTCACAGGCACCGCACAACATGGTTGCACTTGTAGGCAGTACACACATACACATAAAAAATAAAAATAATAAAATATTAAAAAATAAAATTTTTAAATCTTAAACATATTTGAGGAGTGAGGCATGGCCTGTTGTATTCAGTCACAGAGACTCAGCAGGCAAGTTGCTAGCACATGGTGTATTCTATTTTTCTCACTGCTATAAGCAAATACCTCACAAAAGCAACTGAAGGGAAGAAGAACTTATTCTAGCTCACAGTACATCATGGCGGGGAAGGTCATAGCAGTAGGAACTTGAGGCAGCTGGTCAGGTTACATTGCATCCACAGTCAGGAAACAGAAAGATAAATGCTGCCACTCAGTTCACTGTCTCCTTTTCATTCAGTCCAGGACCCCAGTACATGGAATTGAGTGGGTCTCTTCACCTCAATTATAGCCCAATCTAGAAACTCCCTCACAGATGTGACCAGAGGTTTGACTCCCAAGTGATTCTAGACTTATCAAGTTGGTAACTGCCATTAACAACTACTTATGGCTTCTGCTAGAGGACCTTGGTTTGTCCCACATAGAACAGAGAAGGCAAGGAGGGTAACACAGAGGCCAGACTTTCTGTTCAGGATGTAGTAAGACAGGATCCTGCCATGCATGGTGGTGCACGCCTTTAATCCCAGCATTCAGAAGGCAGAGGCAGATTATCTCTGTGAGTTGAAGGCCAGTCTGGTCTACATGGTGAGTTCCAGGCCAATTGGGGATAGAGGGGAGACCCTGTCTCAAAAAAGACCAAAAAAAAAAAAAAAAAAAAGATGGGATCCTGAGGCTGGGTGTGTGGTGCTCACCTTTAATCCCAGCACCTGGGAAGCAGAGGCAGGTGGATCTCTGTGAGTTTGAGGCCAGCCTGGTCTAAAAAGGCTACATAGTAGTGAGACCCTTTCTCAAAAAAACAAAAACCAAACAAACAAAAAAGATGGGATCCTGGCACTAGAGGACAGAAGAGGCAACAGGCCTTTCCCTACCCTCTTTCTGAGTCAGGAGAGTAGAGCTGAGAAGCTGCTCTGTAGATACACAAGCTTGTTAAATGGCAGGTCCTCTTCAAGCTGCCTTCCAGGAAAGTTATGCCATATGGTCTGCAAAGGGGCTCAAAGAGTCGTGCTTTACAAGGTACCCTAGAATAACAACAGCTCACACTGAGGAGGCATCCACCGTAAGGAGAGCATCAAGCTCTGATACACACTATGTACCAGCCTCACACCTACTCAGGAAGCAAGTAGCACCTCTACTGTGTGGGCCAGTTTGTCCAAGGCTCCGAGAGTAGGTCTTCCCCATGCATGCCAATCTTATATGAGATATGACTTATAACTTACCTGGAATCTTTCTACACTTTGGCTATGGGGAAACCCCTTCATGCATAGTTTATCTTTGAGAACACAAAATGAAAGCTGGGTGGTACCTGACAAAGCACACACATGACTACCATTTTGGGGTGGGGGTCTTTTTTGAGACAGTGTCTTCTTATAGCAACAGCTGGCCTGGAACTTGCTATGCAGATCAAGCTGGCCTTGAATTCACAGAGATCTGCCTGCCTCTGTCTCCCAAGTGCTGAGGATAAAGGCATGTGCCACCTAGTCCAGCTCACACTTACCATTTTAAAAAGGATCTTACTATAGGATCACCTTAATTTTTTTCTTTTCTTTTCTTTTTTTTGGTCTTTTTGAGATAGGGTCTCCCTGTAGCCCCAGCTGGCCTGAATTTGCTATGGAGACCAGGCTGGCCTTAAACTCACAGAGATCCGCCTGCCTCTGCCTCCAGAGTTCTGGGACTAAAGGTGTTGCGCCACCACACCCGGCTAATTTTTTCTAAGAAAGATAATCCATGGGTTCATCCCTCTTGGGAGGCCATCCATGAGGCGGGTAGATTTAAAATAATACCTTCTTCTCCCATGAGACAATAGCATAGCCAGAGAATGTTTTTTTGGTTCTAAAATGAAGACCTTAACAGCAGGTGTAAATTATTTAACCTGCAACCATCATTTCTGTAGGTGAGCTTTGGGGTCACAGCTTTTCTATAGCTAAATAATGCTAAAACTATGGATTTAAGAGTTGCAAAGGATGCTGAGCATGGTGGTACATACATGTCTGTAATTCCAGCACTTGGGTGGATAAAACAGGAGATTGCTAAATCAAGGTCAGTCTAGTCTACATAGTGAATTCCAAGTTAGCCTGAGATATGGTAGACCCTATTTCAAAAACCAAAAAAGAGAAAAAAAAGGGGGAGGGGGGTGAGGAAAGAGTTAAAAAGGACTAAAAGCCAACCACTTCTCTGTAAGGGTGGAGATGGCCCTCCAGGGGTCACAGCACATTGGGGAAACAAGTAATTAACCAGTAGCAATTAGGTGAGCAACAAGCCAAGAGGAAAATAAGTTTCTTATTGTTAAGAAAGAGATGAGACCAGTTGGCCCATGTCTTTAATCCCAGCACTTGGGATCTGTGAGATCAAGGCCAGTTTGGTCTAATCATAGTGCGTTCCAGGCCAATAAAGGAAAATTTTTTTTTTAAAAAAAAAAAAAAAAAAAACAGAGAAAGAAAGAAAGAGATGAAGACAAAGGGAAGAAGCTGCCAAGGGCTCAGGGAGGGTAGAAGACTCAGGAGAGCAGGTGGCCAGGGCGCCCCAACAGGCAGCCACTCTCCAAGCTGAGCAGCCTGTCCCCACTCTGTTTCTGCTAAAGACAGAAGGGTGCAGGATATTGGTGGTCTAGGACACTGTTGCTGAACCTGGCTTGTGCCACCAAAGTCTACTCAACCAGTGTTCCTGACATTTTTCAAGGCTGGTTATAATGTATAAATAATTTTGCTGTTGGAATTTAAAATCTTAAGTTAAAAGTGGAACTTTGGAGAATGCATTACTTTTTTTGAGGGGAGGGCGTCTTTTTGAGACAGGGTCTCCCTGTAGCCCCAGCTATCCTGGAATACTTTTTATTTAAATTTTTATACTTGCAGCATGATCCAGCACTGATGCATGCTTTTAACCTACTTGTCAACAAGGACTAGCCACAGGATCGCAGTCTCGGTCAACTACAACAGGCTTATTTGGGGATATCTAATAACTTAGAGCACATAAGTAGTGCTGCCCAATGAAGTGCAAAACATTCTCTTGTTTTTAAAAGAAAAGCCAGAAAAATCTTCTGTGGTTTGATGATATACTTGCACATGATTTTGGAAAGCCACAGGGTGGTCAGCATCTTTCTTGCCAAGAGAATGTCTGCAGAATTTTTCAGCAAATGCCACCCTACCCAAAAGGCTCCATTTTCAGACCATTTAGATTAGTAATGGAGCAAGAACAACACACTTGCAGAGGACACAGGAAGCAAACTGCCTTCAAACCAGACCCAGCTGAGGATGTTTAGAAATACTACAAGCACTGGAGTTTCTTCCTCACCTCTCTCCTGTGGTCCCAGCTTCGTGGATGAAGCTGAAAGCCCAGAAGACAGCATCCTATCCCAGTATCCCAAAAGTAAAGGCTCCCTTCATTCTTTCTGCTTTAATCCCAGGCACCCAACCCCATCCCACGACTCTGACAAGGCCCCTTAACCAAGTGAAAACGGGGCACTGCTTTTCTCATTACTAAAAAGTCAACAGGCTTCAGCAGATTAATATTAAAAATTAACTCAGACCAAGAGTGAACCATATATCCTAAGAGGCCAATGGAGGATCCAGGAAGACCCAGATCATTGGGACCCACTGCCCTTGGGGACCCAGCACCTCAGCCCATCCCACTGAGGAAGGATTCCAACCTAAGTGAGGGGGACTACAAGCTAAGAGTTAGTGAGTGGCTCACTGACCAAGGAGTCTCTGTGCCCAAAGCTGTGACTAGTGGTCTACCATTCATCTCAGTGTAAATGTTGTCCCCGGCTCCAGATACAATGAGAAAAGTGACCCCTAGAGCGTGTGACACTGGTGTCATAAAGTTCACCTCCTGCTGGGGCTGTCTACTCTGAGTCAAATACCACGCTGAGGTAGGTAGCCATAAGCTTTCATTCCCTTAATTTAAACTTCACTCATCCAGTGAGGAACAGGACTGGTCGACTGGTTTTTAACAAAGATCTAATTCACATTCCATAAATTCACAGTTCAGTATGTAGCCATTTACCTCTCAATGTGAAATTTGGTTTCTGTTTCTTTTTGTGCAGTACTGGAGACTGAATCCAGAATCTCCTACATGCTAGGGCAGCACTCTGCCACTGAATTACACTCCCACCCCAGGATCATGATTTTTCGTGGTATATGCTTGTGGGCATGTATGTGCACATGTGCGGGTAGGGGGCATGTTCAGAGCCCAGAGGATACTCGGGTGCTCTCCATCATTCTTTGCCTTATTTCCTTCAGACAGTGTCTCTCACTAAACTTACAGCTCATGTTTTATGCAGCTAGATGGTAGCCAGCAAGACCCTGTGAGGATCATGTGATTTTCATTTGTTTTACATTAAAAAAAAAAAAAAAATGT